TGTCAGCAGAGGGCTACGACACAACCGTATTGCGGGTTTGTATGGGCCATGGGGCCGTACGGGTGCAACGAGTAGGCAAACCAACATACGTGTATACATACCCATGCGCATACCCATGTTGCACACCACGCATGCTGTAGCCCTACCAGGTGGCTGATAAACCCCGCGCACTTCTAGTCATGCTGTACCACACGCACGAGTACGGGCGGGCTCTTGTCCACGGCGCCCTGTTTTAGGGGCCAAGTTCTGGACCCGCCCGCACTCGTACGTGCAGTACAGCAAAACTACAAAAGTGAGCGGGGTTAATCAGCCACCTGGCATATACAGCATGCAATACATACTGTTGGGTTTTCAGAAATGAAATTACCGAGGAGGTATTCACTACCAGAAAACGTGTGCAGAGCACTCGGCATTACACTGAATTACATAGTATTTCCGGGTATTACACCGGTAGTACAAGCGAAATTCGGTCATTTTATAGCATATTTTGTAATTTCTCGGTATTACATTACACGTAATACCGCGTAATAGCCAGAGGGTGAGGTGTACAGGGTATTACGCGAGTGAATACCCCTCGGAAATTACTAAGTAGTACTATGTAATAGCGAAGTAGTGCTTTGTTATTACGAAGCAGGGCTTTGTGATGACGAAGCAATCTTTAACTTCACAAATCATCTAATACTACGGGACTGGCAACGGACATTCCGTTATAGCATATTTCAAAAAAGAAATACGGACGAACCGTTTGAGTTCGACAATGTAACTAAAGTTAGGGTACGGACGTGTCCGGAAAATAATTGCCGCTTATATCCGTTAAATACGTGATACGGCTGCTCCGCACCCCAAAAATGAGGTACGGAACAACCCGGAACAACCGTTTTGCTTGACCGTACAATTAAATTTAGGGTACGGACACGTCCGGAAAATAATTGCCGCTGTCGTCCGTTGATTTTCCGTTGTTTTTTTTCTTACAGTGTTCGTAGTTACAAAGCGATGGTCGAGGTGATGCATAACTTTTAATTGCAAAGAAATAACGCTTTGTTGCATAATGCTTCCCTTTTGTTTGTGATACAAAGGAATGCTTTGTAGACCTTTCCTAGAGGGTGCAACAGGACGATCGAGATGCGAATCGTACACCCTGTTTTACTTTCAGAACAGGCACGCAACGGCTTCGCACACGCGCTCCACACTACATTAGTCAAAGTGGAAGGTCATTCCTAAACGGTCTTTGTTTGCACGAGCATTTTGGCATCTCTTTTTGGTACTGCCAATTTTGGTCTCCTTCTGGCTTCTTTGAATCCCAAATTGTGGCAGTCTCCATGAGGAGGCCAAATTTTAGCGTTCTAAAGAATCCAAAGAATCCAAAGAATCTAAAGAATCGAAAGGCATGTCAAAAATTGGAAGTTACAAGACTTCCAAAATTTTGGCATAGGCCTAATCAATATTTTTCGCAAATCGGAGCAGCCATAGCGTTTACACCGGTTTACACTCGAAATGCATTCGGCCTGTGTGTGGACGTCAATTCTGCCTTTTTAGAAAACAAAATTGCTCCCTTTATACTTTGACAGAGTAGAGTGCAAGATTGGCCATGGATCACGTACACAGCAAAGACTCACCGGCCGCGTTCATCCGCGCCTCGAAGCATTTCTGCAGGCGGCAGTAGGGGCACCAGTTCCTGCGCGTCTTGTCCACGGCGCACAGGCCCCTGCCGGCTGCAAGAGGAAGTGGGCGGTCAGGGGGCTGCCGCGCTTGTCCGCCGTGGGGACGGTGAGTGTGTGAATGTCGCAGACTTGCAGGTGTTCAACGCCATTTGTACACATGGAGGCAAAAGTGTGTGAAGTTTCAAAGGAAAATTGAATTGTATTCAGATATCTTTACTCGCTTAAGTGTACGAATGGACACGCACTCACACACCTAAAAGTGTGCGACATTCTCACACACCTAAAAGTGTGCGACATTCTCACACACCTAAAAGTGTGCGACACTCTCACATTTGTGTGCGCATGCGTTTCCAGTGTGGCTCATGACTCACAGATGCAGATGTAAACGGCGTTCCTGCGAACGCTGCGCTTGAAGAAGCAGGAGCAGCCGTCGCAGCAGAAGGCACCATAGTGCTTCCCGAAGGACTTGTCCCCGCAGACCCGACAGGGCACGGGCACGGGCAGGGCGCGGCCTGCCGTCCGGAGAGAAGTACAACCGCGCTTAGATTCAGCTCCGTGAACTTTGGTCCAAGTACATCGAAATACGTCGTTGAGCGTCATCATAAATCGTTGTTGAACTGCTCCATCGACGTTCTGGGCTTGACTAACCGCGAGGCCACTATAGGCCCAAGGTTTTTTGGTCCGACCGGAGTCGTCCGTTTGATTGCAAAGTGCAACGAGGACAACGACGTTGAAGCGGCTCGTGGCCCTGTGCAGGGGCGCGGGCGGCCCTCCACTCGCGGGAGTCCGTTGAGTTGCCTACCTCCCCGGCGGGGCTGGGAGCGGCTCAGCCAGCGGCTCGCCTCGACACTTGCCGGCGACTCACCCATGAAGGACGCCGGGAGCCGCGTAGCTACTCGATGTCCAACGCCTCCGACGTCTAGGTGCACCATGGCGCCAAAACCTGGGGTCGTGGCCATCCCCTGGCGTATGGGGCGGCGCAGGGGCGGCGTGGAGGGCGGCGCGGAGGGCGGCGCGGAGGGCGGCGCCACCTTGACCACCCACCGCCAATGGCAGCGCAACAACCCCCTCCCTCGACCCTCGACGCTTCCCACGGGTTGGCATGACCAACAAGATGTGTGCCCCAAACACGGTAAAAATGATGTCGTGTAGTTCAAGAAGATTGTTTGGAATTCAAGGGAAAATGTCTTGGATTCCAAGCAACCTGCTTGAATTATAAGACATCATTTTTACCGTGAACATTTTACTTATTTGCCAACATGTTCGCCGTGGCTGAATAAGGCATTCCGGTAAAGCTGAATGCGGGGAAGAAGACGGAACTCGCTACGCTTTAACATGAGACTTCCGTTTTCTTGTTCCCTGCATTCTTCTGCATTTCAGCTTTACCGGAATGCTTTATTCAAGGAGTCTTACTTTTTCTATTGGTGCTACCTGTGGTGCGTTCCTCTGATTCACGCCGCGTCTATCGCAGCGCTCATGGCTCATGGCTCGAACGCTTACCCAGTGACTCAACGACTCGACTCGGTTGAATTAATCTGGTTTTCTTCCGGACCTATCCACCGCTGTTTGGAGCGGTGCAGTATGAGTCGGCTCGACTCCACGGCGTGGTCACGAGGTTTGTGAGTCACTGACTCACATCGCACTCATCGCTCGCGGGGCTGACGGCGCCGGCTCACTCAACTCGACAATGAAACTGAGACAGTCCACTTCCAATCCAGTAGCAAAACATCTACTGCCGCGTAGGCAAAAGGAACGGCGACCGGAGGCGATTCTCATACACAAATATGAGCAAATTGTGCTAGAATCTTCATTCAAAATTTGCTTAATTCACAATTTTTGCGTGTGCGAAAACAAGTACATTTCACATTTTAGACAGCCGTTGTTTTAAATTTAAAATATGAGACTGCGGATCACTTGGCAAGAAGTGGATGGGCAAGCCATATGGTGCCCAGTGCCGATTGAGCTGTAAGAGGTCAGGGGTTATGGGGCGCATGGCGCGAGGAGCAGCGCTGCGAGACATGGCTGGCCCACCACGGCCCGGCGCGAAGCAAGGGATAAGGGCGCTATGTTTATGACACAAGCAGAGCTATGACAGCGGACTGCTAGTGGGGACGAACGGAACGGAACAGAGAACACGAGAATCTATATTACCAACGTCAATCGGCTTATTAAAACTGGAACGTTAATCGGCAAAACAAAACGGGAAACTCTTACCTTCGGATAGAGACAGCCACTGGAGAATGTTTCTACGTATGCCCGCTGCCCCCACTCCACCCCCACCCGCGCAGCCCTGCGGTCGTCGTGTGCGGAGCGGTGCGGGGGAGGGGCCGGGCCGGGCTGGGGCGCGCAGAAAGGAGGTTGTGACCCCCGGGACCAATAGGGAGGTCGGCCGAACACTTCGGTGCGAGGTTCGCGGTCCAGGACGCAATTTCTCATGATGGCCACCCAGTGGGGTAGGGGGGGGGGGGCAATGCGCACCCGTGCAGCACTTTGCTGTTGCTGTGCACGTTTCTAGCAGGTTCAGGTTTCCCTGTTCTGCTCGCCGTCTGCTAGGGATGGTCCGCTAGTTAATGTTGAATACCCATGGTTAGCTCCGGGTGTGTGCTAAGGGCTAGAGTGGGGACGGACGGGTGGAGCAGTGATAAACTGGTCTACCCGGCCAACCTCTCAATCAGGAAGTTGACAGATCAAACGTGAAAGGACAAATTCGTTGTACTTCATCACATCAAATGGTTCCGCTTGCTTTCTCACTTTTTGT